GCGAGCGAGGATGTGCCTGATTGCCTGGACGCGCTGTCACCTCGCATGTGTCGCGTGATACACACTTTGGCTAGAAAGCGGCGGGCCTGCACGAGCATTGTTGCCCACATGGCTACGGCGCTCAATGCGTGCAGCATCAGTACAGCATCTGTTTGGGGGGACGTCGAAGAGGAGCGCATGTCCACAGCGACGAGCATCCTCGACGGGCAATTGCACATGCACGCGCCAAAATTGTGGCAAACAGCCAGCGCCGAGGCCGACCACATCGTAGCCGCCTTGGCCTGGATCGCGTACGTGCCCATGACGAGAACAACGAAGTGGGCAGAGACAAGCGCAGTGTTTTCGCGACCAGGCAATCGGCGCCGAACCGTGCCGGGAGCGGCGCCGCCCTCTGTTTCCGCAGCGGGCGTGGAAAAAGAGCAAGCTGGAGAACGCGCTGCAGTTCGCCCTTGCCCTTGCCCTTGCCGACGACATCGGTGTGGCGTCAGCCAGACTGCGGCAAATCAAAGAAAGCGAACTACCAGAAACCGAGCATCGCAGTCTACTACGAATGTTGTTTTAACTGAAAGCCAAAGTTCCCGCCGCACTCATGGGGAACATTCGGGCTGTCTGCCGCCTTAGGAGTTGGTCCGACTGCAAAGTCTTAGACCGCTGGAAGCTCACGCCGCTGGACATTGTTTCTTTCCTACGTGATGCAAGCGTCGGGCGGAACAGCGCCCCGCGCGTGCTCCTGGACGGTCTGGACTCGCTACGCGCTGCCTTGGCGCCCCCTTCTGGGCGCTACAAGACGCAGCCGCGCAGGCCGCGGCAGAAATGTCATCTAGAGACACAAGCGCAGCCTGCTTACAGGCAACACCGTACACGTACCAAACGGCGGTGGACCTGTTAAGCCTGTTGAGCGCACGCGAGGACGACCTGGACGCGACCGCTTACAGCATCCTCTTCCTGCTGCGCCTAGCCTTCGCGCGCCTGCGGTTCAGAGACCTAGACAGGGGCGCGGGCTTCAGCCTCGGGCGTGACGCACTGCGCGTTGTGTGCCGGCGCTCAAAAGGCAAATCTGCGCCGGTTCCTTGGGCGGCGTCGCGGGTGACCTGGGCCGGTTTCGCCCAGGGCAAGCGTTTCTTCAGCCTGGCCAGTGGAATCCTTCCGCAGAGCGCAGACGCTCCGAGGGGTCGGCTCTGGCCCCGTCGATGTCACTGGCGCGCGGCACCTTGGAGTTCGCCGCGCCAGTGCGCCGCGGTAGCTATGCCAACTGCCTGATGGCGATGGCCGTCGTGCACCATTTGGCAGGGCACGCGGCCCAGTACACGCCGCGCCGCGCTGCGCCGCGCCGCGCAGCCCGCTTTCTCAATGTGCGGCATAGCAGGCCAGGCTGGTTCCACCCATCAGGAATGGCGCAGCCTGGGCCGATGGGGCCCCGCGAGTGGCATGCCCATCCGGCACGGCCAGAGCCGCCGCTGCGCCGAGCTTGCTGCGCAGGAACGAGCGCGGAAGAAACTCCGCGGCGGCCTTCGCCCGGGCGGCGATTGCGAGCCGCCGACGGCAGACGAGGCGGCGACGGAGCTGAGGGCGAGAGCGCGCGCCGCAAAGCAGCGAGAAGCAGCTCGCGCGCCCGGGGCCCAGGCCCCGCAACCGCCTCAGCTGCCGCCGGTCCGCGCGCTGATCAACCACGAGAAAGGCGTGCTGCACAAGGGCCCGCTGCGCAAACATGCGCGGGATCCAACCCTATCGCGCTGCGAGCAGGCTGCGGAGGGGCGGAGGGCCAGTCCAACTTGCACCTGCACCAGCGCTGCGACCGGCGTTGTAGGACCAGCGCCGCGGCGAGGCCAGAATGGGCAGACCTAGGCGCGCCGCGATCAGGGCGCAGGAGTGCTGGACCCGACAGCGGCAGCTATTCCATGAGCCCGTCTGGGTCGAGCGCGACGGCAGATCCGCGATTCTCGCGAGGCCGGGATCCAGCGCGCCCGCCTGGCGATGGCCAGGTGGCAGCCGAGAGGAAACATAATCCATTAGATACAACAGTGTTAAAAGTGCAATTATATTATAGAAAACACAATCGACATGGACTACACAATCCAGCGCGCAATGACACATACGCATGATCCCTAAGGTGCCTTGTTGCCACTGCTGGCCAGAGACATGCCCCATTCCGGGCAGCAGCGGGTCTCGGCGTCGACCCGTCCTCCCGTAGAGAGACCCCGCTGGCGCTGCGAGGGAAGATTGGCGCTCGCGATGTAACAAGTAATTGGGCAGAGGAGCCTGGCCCAAGCCTTGCCTGCTCGCCCCCCCTGAGGCGTCTCGTTGCCGCGGCTGAGTGCGAACGGAAAGCTGGCCAGAGACATGTCCCATTCCGGGCAGCAGTGGGTCTCGGCGTCGATCCCTCTTCCCGCGGAGAGATTCCGCTGGCGCTACGAGGGAAGACTCGCGCTCGCGATATTCCACTGGTGCTGCGTGGGAAGGCTGGGCCCCGTGGACAGAACTCGCCGGCGCGAGGATAATCGCCACCTGCGGGAAGAGGAAGAGGACGAAGAGGAGGAGGGGGAGGGGGAGGAGGGCCCCATCGACCTCGCTGCCCCCCCCCCCCTCCCCAGATCCCCCCCTGAAGCAAAGGCGGCCAATGGCAGGCGGGGGGGGGGCGCGGGCGTTCCGGGCGATGTGCTGGGGCCCACCAAGGCGACGATCATCGCGCTTCGGCCCGGCCAGCTTCCACTTTCGCCGGTCGTTGCAGCAGGGGTGGTCCATCGCGCCAGCCAGGCGATGGCGCTCAGGAAGCACCCGCCGCTGCAGGGCGAGGCATGCGCGAGCGTGACATCGCGCGGGCTCAAGAACAAGCGTCGCGAGCCGCAGCCTGAACCCTGCCCCCCCCTCTGCCGCGGCGATGCTGGTCACGCGCATCGCAGAGGTCGCCGGGGCTTCGTCCGCCGAGCTGCGCGACGTGCTGGCGGGCAACGGCGCCCCCGAAAACGTCGCCAATCCTCGCGGGCAAGAACTTCGCCGGGCTGGGCGCTGTCGCCGACTTGGCGGACTCAAGATTCGCGCAGGTCGCTGGCCGGCCCGCGGGCCTGGGCCCCCGGGCGGCAGCATCGCGCGCCAGCCGTTGATGTCGGCGCGGCGGCCGGCGGAAGCCAAGGCGAAGGCCGAGCTGGAAGCGACCGCCATGGGCGACAACACCGAAAAGGGCATCTCCCTGGGCACAGAGCAGCAAGAACGCTCAGATGCGCAAGTGAAGGGGCACTACCAGATGGACGTCAAGAGCATCCTCGAGAAGAAGGTCGGCCCGCTGTTCAAAATGTTCCCTTTCGAAGCAGGGCGGGGTTCACGCCCGGCCTGAGAGCGTCTGCGCGACAGCGCAGGGCCTGGCCGGGTTCCGCGAACGGCACTTCCAGCCCATGTTCGCTTACAACCAGGCGGCCGCCCCGGAATTCGATGACGCCTCGCCCACTGTCTTGCTCGAGTATTACCAGCGGCGCATGCAGAAAAATCATGATCGCCGCGTTGTCGCCGGAGATCGCGCGATTTCCTCGAAGCCGACCTCCGCGCGCGCGCCGAGCGGATACTGAGCTGGCAGCGCAGGGAGTTCACGACTTCCATGGGAGTCATAACGCACCCCCGCGGCCAGGGCGCCTATACAGACGCGGGGGGCAGGAGGCGGCCCAGGAGCGAGTCGCCGCCGCGCGGGCCTGCCCGCGGCCGCGGCCAAGGCGCCCAGCCCGTCCGAGACAAGCAGCGGCGCGAGGCGCCAGAGCCGGGCGGCGCCGCCGGGGCGAGCCAGCCCCCCGCCCGGGGCTGCAGCGCAAGAACAAGAAGACTGGGTAGCTCCGGGCGGCCAGCGAAAGCCCGCGGGCAAACGTCGAGCACTTTGGTGATGGCGTTGACATATGAGATCTATGTCAGTTCAAGTCACTTATAAGTTACTTCAATTATGTCTGAAGTTATTTGTAAGTAACTTGAAATCACTTGTAGTGAGATATGTTAAGATCCTGCAGCTACCATCCACATCTAACTTAATTCATTAACATATATACTTAAATCACATGTAGAACATATGTTACTTGTGTGCACCCAATTGCCATACTTATAAGTTACTTGTAGTTATACTTATAAATAAGATAAGTTAAAGTCCGATAAGTCTGCTTTTTCGTCTGCTTTTTGAAAAGGGGGTCGGAAACCGAAAAACGCGCAGGTTTTCTTCAGCACAGTGTTTCGCCAGGCGCCAGGCGACCGAGAAGGCCGTTCATCACCGAGCTCAACCCGCGCAGCCTGGGGGGTAGGAGAGAGGGGGCGGGAATGGCGGGGGGGGGATCGGGAGGGGATGCCATGCGCATTGGCGGCACACCGCCCGCACTTCTCATCGCGGCGCGTTCTGATGTGATTCGTTTCGGCGGCCCACCGCCCACGTCTTGCAAATTCTGTGCAGTTTTATCGCATTGGCGGCGCACCGCCCATCGCTATGTTTTGCCCGCGTATTGCAATTTGTACGTTTTGCACATGTTGATTGAAGTTTCGTCGCGTTGGCGGTGCACCGCCCACGTTCCCTTGATTGCGCGAATCGTTTCTTCACGCATCGGCGGAGCACCGCCCACGCAGCACGTTTCATCCGAATTCGTCATCGAATTTGGCGGTACACCGCCCACGTCCCCGTGATTGCGCGATGCGTTTCTTTCGCGTTGGCGGTGCACCGCCCGCGGCGCATGCTTCGCCCGAGTTTGTCATCGCATTTGGCGGCCCACCGCCCACGTCACCTTGATTGCGCGAGGTGTTTCTGCATTCGTTGGCGGTGCACCGCCTTCGGCGCACGTTTCATCATATACCGTTTGTTTGGTCGCACTGGCGGCGCACCGCCCAGGAGGGGGGAGGAGGGGAGAGGGGGGAGGAGAGGATAGCAGAAGGAAGACGTGAAGGGCCATGCCATTTCCCTTCGCCACAATACGCTGCCCCTGTCCCACCGAGCGCTTCTGGAGGGGCCGCGGGGCGGGCGCCCCCCGACGCGCCGCGGCGCGATGGAGCGCGTCCAGGCTGCCCTGGGCGAGGCAGCCGCGGCGCTTGCAGCGGCGAGCGGGCCTTCCAGGGGCGCTGCAGAGCAGCTGCACTTCGGGAAGGTGCGCGCGCTCATCGAAGGCCAGAGGTGAGGCTCGGGTCAAAGATCCCGTACGGGCGAGAGGCCATCCGTTCCCCCTTCGAGGAGGTCCCCGCCTCCGTTCGGCGGAACGCCGCCCGCTCCCCCCTCCTCCCCGCCGTCTAACATTCCCCCGTCGTTTTGCAGGTGGACGGCCACGGAGAAAGGGCAGCTGCTGACCCAGCTCGGGCAGACGGGGTTCAGTCACGATTTGGTCGGCGCCGCGACCGAGTGGCTCTGCGGGAGGCGCACGAAGGCCAAAGGGCAAAGTTACGAGTGCTTCGTGGAGTTGCTGACTGCCTCCACGTGGCACGTGCTGCTGAGCCCAACCGAGTCGTTCGCTTCGAAATTTGTCATGTTGATGCGCCACTTGGAGCGCCTCGGGCTCCGGAACCCTTCCGAGCCGACGTTTGGCATGCTAGCCGCGTTCATGTTCCTGGCGTGCCAGCGATCAGGCATCGAGAAGAATTCGCCGACTCCGCAGCTCTTGGACGTGTACTTGCAGTTGGTGAAGACCACGTGGCGTTCCCCTGCCTACACAGCTGCTCGAGGCAAGGCAACCGAGTTTGTCGGCGCGCTCTCCCCCTCGGCGGCGCTGTTCCAGCAGGAGAGGCCGACGCTGTACGAGCAGGCGTTCGCCTCGGAGGGGCCCGTGCAGCCGACAATTGGGCTTCTCGAGACGCAGGTCCTCGGGAAGCTCATCAGCTTGCGCGGCAACAGGAACGCAGCGCTCAGCGCCCAGGCAACGCCGCAGCGGGCGGCGTTGCCGCCGATCGCCTTCGCGCCTCTGCCGCCGCGTTCTCCGATGCAAAGCGTTGCGGTTGCAGCCGCGACGATTGCCGCGACGCCTCCCTTGGGGGCCGCGACGCCAGCGGCGTTGCCGTTGTGGGTGATCCCAACGCACAACGCCCGCGGCGGGTGGCCGAACCCAGCGGCGGCCGCCCTCGTCTCGCAGCGCGGGCCGACGACTCCCACTCCAGCAGCTCCCGCGGGCAAGCCTGCCGCGATGTCGGGAGCGGCGCCTGCGGCCGCGGCCTCAAAGTTGGGTGGTGGCGCCAAGGTCAAGGCATCGGCCGTTGACGTCATGGTGCTGAGCTCGAGCGAGTCCGAGGTGGACGCGAAGGGGGCGCCGCAGAAGAAGGCAAAGGTTTTTGGACGGTAACCTGGACCCGCCTCCGCGGCCTCCGCGATTCACGGGGGCGCGCCTCTGCCCAAGGCAGCGGCGCGCCCTCTGCGGGGCGTCGCAGGCGCGGCGATTGGTTATTGCCACTTGCCGCTGTCAAGGTGGATCCGGCACTGCCGCTGGCGAAGCTGCCTGCCGACGCTGCCCTGGTTCTCCTCCAAGCGGCGGGGCAACGTACTTCCTCTGGCTGGAAAGCGGAGAAGGGCGAGAAGAAGCGGAGGAAGTCCGACGCAGTGGCGGCCTTGGCGAAGACAAAGGCTTCAGATGGCACGGCGAAGCCATCGGCGGCGAAGGCAAAGGCAAAGGCAAAAACCGAGGCAACACCGAAGAAGACTGCGAAGGCGAAGGCGGCAGCATGCAAGCTGAAAGCACCGCGGTATGACGACGAGAGCACTCGCAGCCAGATTCTCTTCAGGAGCGGGCGCAGCGGGCCAGGCGGCACCAAGAGCAAGAAGTACAGGAACGGCAAGGAGAAGGACACTTTTGGGTCCCATCTCCTCCACTCGGCGTGGCCACGGGGCTCGATGCGCGGCGGCGGAGCGCGTTGTTGCGGCCGCGCGTGGCCTCGCTCCAATCATATGCGCAAAGAGACCCCGCGGGCCACTTTGCGTTTATGGCGGTTTTCATCTGCCACTCAGGAGGCCGCCATCGCCTGGGCCAAGGCGCTGGTGCAGAGCGAGCTGGAGGCTCGCAAGAGCGAGTTCTGAGGCGACCTGCTTCGGTGGCGCGATGCATGACTCTCAGTCGGATTTGCCGCGGGCGGCGCGTGGGGCGCGCAGCCTGCGTTCAGAAAACAAGGAACTCGGATCGAAATCGGATCGTAATCTTATCGGGCCTTGCTTGTCCTTGCGCTGCTCAGGCGGTTCTTCGCATTTCTTGGAAGGTTTGCCTGGCGGTGCACCGCCTCCATCTGTTGTCGGCGGTGTTCCGCCTTCGCTGGTTCCATTACCATGGGCGTTCTCATTTCTCTGACCGCTGCCTCGCCCTTGCCCGCCTCCCTCCGCCGCTCCCCCCGCGCCTTTTCAATTCAAGCAGCCCTCCCCGCGGGTCCCGCGGCGCCCCTCCCCGCGCCGCTGCCGCCAGCGGCCGCGGGCGCTTCGCGGGCGCATGGCGAGCGAGGGCGCGGCCAGCAGCGCCATGGACAACTCCGCGGGGGCGCTGGGAATTCAGAAAACGCCTGCTCAGCCCGATGCGCCCGCTTGGGCAGTGCAGGCTGATTTCCTGGATTCCTGTTGAGGTGCACATGGCGGCTTCAGATGCGAGCCAGTCGCTTTTCGAGCAGGTCGCCGAAGCCTTGAACCTCTTCGAGATGTTCGCCCAGGCTCGAGGGAAACGGATCGAGCGCGCCCGACGCCCATGCGGCCCCGCCCCCGTTCGCCCGCGTTGGCCTGGATGCAGGCGGCGGCGGGGCAGGGCCCAGAAGCGACGGTGCTCTCGGCGTTTACCTTGCCTTGCGCAGGAGGCAGGCATGGATGACAGCATCGCCGATCCCGCGCCGCCAGGCTGGCAGACGGCGGGGTGCCCTGGCAGCAGCAGCAGCGACCCCTCGCCAGAGGCGAAGCAAGGACCGACGCTCATCCCCGTCCACAATCAGGGCGCGGCGCCGGAGTCGCCGCCACGTCGCGCCCGAGACGCTGGCGGCACGTGGCGGGCGGAGCAGCAGCAGCAGCAGCAGGAGGTGCAGCAGCAGCAGCAGCAGCCGCCGTCGGAGAAGCCTCAGCCGCCGTGGCGCCAGGCGCAACCGCCAGCAGGCGCGCCCAACGTGGGCGCCTCAGGCGCGCCCAACGTGGGCGCCTTCGTCGCCAAGGTACCCGAAGTGCCGAAAGCGTCTGCGGCGCCAGAGGACGTGGTGCAGGCGTACAAGTTCTTGCGCTCGATGCTGAGCGAGAGCGCGCCGATCGCCTGGAACTCCAAGCGCGTCCAGGAGCCACTGGAGCTGCTGCAGCGCTACGTCGGCATCTGGGGTCGCGCCAGCAGGGGGCCGCCCGCGCCCATGCGCGGTGGCCCGCAATTCTGGCGCGGCCAGACGCGGCGCAAGAGCGGGAAGCGCTGGGGCAACCGTGGTGGTTCAGGCCCCAAGTCGGAGTGGTACGCCTCCAAATACGGCCGCGCGCCACCGCGCCGCTCGCTCCAGGACAGCGGCGGCGGCCCGTACCTCGCGCCGACGCCGCCGCCGCCACCGCCGCCACCGCCGCCCCCGCGGCCGACGGCCGCGAGTTCGGCGCCCGCGGCAAAGGCAGCGGCCGCGCGGCCGCCCCCACTGCCCCTGACGGTCAAGGCGATGCCTTCCAAGAACCGCGGGCTGTACCTCTGAGACTCGCGGGCCGCTGGCTTTGACAACCCCCTCGGAGGTCAGACGCCGACTGAAACATCCATGAGGGGCGGGGGGACGGGAGAGCGGAGAGGTGATGGACGGTGAGCCAGGAGACAAATGGAAAGAGAGCGGAGTGGAAGTTTCAGTCGGCATCTGATTTTCCGATTTTCAGGTGCCGTTCTTCGCCGCTGGCGGCTTTCGCGGTAGGCGTGCGCCGCGCTCGCGGGACCGTTCGCGAATATCCTTTGCGCGCGTCGCCAGCAACAAATCGGCGGGGCACCGCCTGTCATGGGCTCTCGTCGGCGGCACTCCGCCTAACTTCGGCGGTGCACCGCCCGCGCGCGCTGGACTCCCAGCACTCCCCCCCATTCAGCTTCGGCGGTGTACCGCCTGTGCGTGCTCCACGCTCCCTGCACGCCTCCTCCATTCCTCTTATGATGTTTTCCGCAGCCGCAGGCTCCAGGCTGCGCTTGCGCCGCGCTTTTCCCGCGCGCGCCTTCGCGGGCGCCCGTCCGCCGTCCTCGGCGCGCTCTCGCAGCCTTCGCGGCCGCCTCCCTTCGCGCCGTCTTTGGCGCGCTCTCGATCGCGGGCCTCCAGTGCGCCATCGAGCTCTTCTCTTCGCGAGATGCCCATGATCAGCGTCTTCGGGTGCACGTGCCCGTTGTCGGGGACCTGCTCGAAAGGCGGGAGTTTCTTCAAGGGCGCGTCGCGAGATGAGGCCCTGTCGAGGCTCAAGACGCACTTGGTGAAGTCGAGCTACCACCTCGAGGATGTCGACGCGGATCTTCAACTGGTCATCGCCGAGGTCGGCGCGCCCAAACGATTGCTTGCCCACGTCTTTCGGCGAACCTCGGTGGCGCTCGGCTCACCGAGGTCCGAGCGCCTTCGAGGTTCGACGAACGGCGCGAGCGATCGCGGGGCGCGCTTGAAGGTCGAGGAGTGGACTGAGGACACGGACGAGTGGGAGCGCTGGCAGAAGGCCAACGACGAGCAGTGGTGCAAGAACAACCGCCTCCGTGGCGCTCGCAGTGCGCCGTGCCAGCCTCCCGAGCAGGTCGCTCCACTCAGCCAGAGTGCAGTGGCGGCGGCCTTCCCGAAGGGCAGCGGCAAGGGCGGTCCGCTTCAGCTCAACATGAGCGGAGCGAGCTCGCCCGTCAGCGCCAACGTCGCGCCCGAGGCCACCGTGCAGCTGAACTCAGCGCAGGCGCAGGTGATCCTCGACAGCGTCACGAGGGCGAGGATGTGCTCGGCGGCCTGCCTGGCAGTGGCGGAGCGGTCGGCCGTGGCGTTCCGCGCCGAGCAGGCGGCCCTCGCCGACCTGCAGGAGACGCTGGCCAGCTGGCCCTCCAACAACGCGTCGTGAGGCCACGTTGGGGTCCTCCCGTCGCGGCGGCGTCGGCCGCCCCCTTCGGCCGCCTCGTCGGCCGCCCTCTTCGGCCGCCTCGTCGGCCTAGCAGCCCGCCGCGCCGCCCGCGCAGGGCTTGCATCGGCCGCGTAGGCCGCCTTGGGCCCCGCGGGGGTTCGACGCCGACTGACAGATCGGGGAGGGGCACGGTGAGGGAGGTGCGGAGGGAAGGGGCATGGAGAGGAGCATGGGAGGGGGGTGCGGCATGGGGAGGGGCATGAGAACCGGGGTGGGGCGGAAAGGCTGTCGGTCGGCTTCTGACCCCCGCAACTCTTCGGCGCATCCGCGCGGTCGCTCGCGCGCGCGCGGGCCGTGCGCGCACTCTTATTTTTGGCGGGTCCGCCATTCTTTCTTGGAAAACTGCGATCATCATCATCAACATCATCGCCATCAACATCACCATCATCATCATCATCATCGTCATCATCATCATCATCATGAGTAGCATTGCCATTCTCATCCTCATCATTCCGATCACCCCCATAGGAGGAGAAGGAAGAGGAGGAGTGGTGGCGAGGAGAGGGTGAGGAAGAGGAGGAGGGGAAGGAGGAGGAGGAGGAGGAGGAGGAAGGGGGGGGGGAGGAGTCCTTCCCCACCATTTTTCATCATCATTCTCACCATCATCATTCCGATCACCACCATCGGAGGAGGAGGAGAAGGAGGAGGAGGAGCAGCAGGAGGAGGAGTGGTGAGGAAAGAGAATGAGGAGGAGGAGGAGGAGAGGGAACGATCTCGGCGCGGCTGCGATGAGGGCTGGTTTCCTGCGCCGCGTATCGCGGCGTATCCTGGCGTATCCTGGCGTGTCCTGGCGTATCGCGGCGCATCGCGCGACGGCGCGACGCGATGCGCCAGGATACGCCAAGATACGCCGCGATACGCCAGGATACGCCAGGATACGCCCGTATCCTGGCGCATCCTGGCGCATCCTGGCGCATCGCGGGGTGCCGCGGAGCGCGATACGCCAGGATACGCCAGGATGCGCCGCGATACGGGCGTATCGCGGCGTATCCTGGCGCATCCTGGCGCATCGCGGCGCGCCGTCGCGCGATGCGCCAGGATACGCCAGGATACGCCAGGATACGCCAAGATACGCCGCGATACGCGGCGCAGGAACGCAGCCCTCAGCGCAGCCGCGCCGAGCTCGTTCCGATTCTTCGGAATCGCCATCACCATCACCATCGCCACCTCGCCATCTCACCTTCACCACCACATCACCATCGCCACCTCGCCATCACCACCTCACCA